TTGTTGTGGTTGAAGCTGAAGTAGTCATTGACAGGAAGGACATTGTGGCAGATGATTTTATGTACTATGCTTAGGTCAGACTCTATGGCTGTTGAGTACAGAAGGAAGGGAGAGAGTGAGAGGAAAGGAGTGGCTTTTGTGGGGCCAGCCTGAGGAAGAGAAGGGAAGAGGAGAGGATCTATAGGGCAAGCCTGAGGGAGAGAAGGGGATAGAGAGGAGAGGCTTCTGTGGGGCAAGCCTGAGGGAGAGAAAGGAAGAGGAGAGGCTGATTGTAACTACTCATTAATTTTCAAACTCGTGTCAATTTATCAAGCCCGATCACATAGTTTCATAGTGGAGCATGGGTATTCAGCTAGTTATATATATAATTACAACTCACTTTCAGCAAACAAAGGAATATTAGTTCATCTAAAAGAAGAAAAGCATTGTTTGGTTAATCTACCAGATGGGCTATTTGGCTTTGATAGGGTAAAGGTTGAACAATTAGCAGAGGAGATTTTTTTTTTTTCTAGTTGTCCTTAAATCTCACTTGTGCAGCTTAATTTAAGAAATGATGACGTGTCGGAGGCACCCAAAATTGCAATTGTGCCAGAGAATAAAGTGGCTGCTTGCTGTTTTCTCAATATTTTTATCTGTTGTGTAACCGACTGCATTTTTGTCTCATGAGTTAGTGCCAAGCCAAGCTGGAATTCTGACTCACTGATAAGATGTTAACATCAGCCTTATACATAGCTGAAGTGTCTGACCTATGAAGTCATCTCACTTCCATCTTCTTCACCCAAACAGAAGGTTCAGTGATGTAAAACCCTTGAGAGCTCACGCAAATATCCTGGGCAAAAATGTGTTCCATTCACAAGTACATCAGGTCATGTGACTCATACACACTGTGCTCGATTCAGTGCTTTTTTTATAGTGTCCTCTGTAAGAGGCTTTGCTGCAGTTCTCACAAATAAGCCGTCCGAAGTCCGTTGCTGATTTGATTTGGTAGATCGGTCCTCTGGAGGCCTACAATATCCAGGATTTGCTCAACTCTAAGCAAGGATACATGGGACTGTATCCTGTATCCTGCTGTGGCTCAGTGGCTAAGACGCTGAGCTTGTCGATCGAAAGGTCAGCAGTTCGGCGGTTCGAATCCCTAGTGCTGTTTAACAGGGTGAGCTCCCGTGACTTGTCCCAGCTTCTGCCAACCTAGCAGTTCGAAAGCATGTAAAAAATGCAAGTAGAAAAATGGGGACCATCTTTGGTGGGAAGGTATCAGCGCTCCGTGTGCCTTTGGCGTTTAGTCATGTCGGCCACATGACCATGGAGACGTCTTCGGACAGCATTGGTTTTTTGGCTTTGAAGCAGAGATGAGCACCGCCCCCTAGAGTCTAGCATATATGTGCTTAGGGCAGGGGTCTGCAATCTTAAACACTCAAAGAGCCATTTGGACCCATTTCCCACAGAAAAAAAAACACCTGGAACCACAAAACCCTTCCTGTGCCTGACTATTTCTTGAGCAGCCACAAAACTTGCATATGTAGTTGAATTAAACATTGTGTTTTCTTCTGAAATTTTTCTTTTCTTGGATTTATCTATGGTTGGCCTACCGGGGGTTGAAAAGCTCATTAAATCGCGTGCCGGCAGGTGTTGCACATTGGCAGTTGTGACACATATTTTGAGTGTCAGGGAGCCGCAGCAGTGGGGTGAAAGAGCCACATGCAGCTCCAGAGCCGCAGGTTGCTGACCCCTGTGCTAGGGGAACCTTTACCTTTTACCTTAAGCAAGGATACAGATTAACAGAGTTGGAAGGGACCTTGGAGTTCAACACACACACACCCGCCCAAGCAGGAGACCCTACACCATTTCTGACAGATAGCAGTCCAGTCTCTTCTTGAAAGCTTGCAGTAATGAAGCTCCCACAACTTCTGAAGGCAACTTCCATCAGTTGATTGCTCTCACTGTCAGAAAATTTCTCCTTATTTCCAGGTTGAATCTCTCCTTGTTCAGTTTCCATCCATTGTTCCTTGTCTGGCCTTCAGGTGCCTTGGAAAATAGCTTGATCCCTTCTTCTCTGTGGCAGCCCCTCAAATATTGGAACATGTATCATGTCTCCCCTGGTCCTTCCTCTTCACTAGACCAGCCACGCCCAGTTCCTGCAACCTTCTTCATATGTTTTAGCCTTCAGTCCCCTAATCATCCTGGTTGCTCTTCTCTGCACTCTTTCTAGAGTCTCAACAACTTTTTTATAGCGTGATGACCAAAACTGGATGCAGGATTCTAAGTGTGGTCTTATTATTGTAATACAGTGGACTAAAGCACTGTTATTAACATCTGCTGCTTGCAATTACTGCAAGTTCAAATCTCTCCAGGCTCAAGGTTGACTCAGCCTTCCATCCTTTCAAAGGTAGGTAAAATGAGGACCCAGATTGTGGGGGCAATAAGCTGACTTTGTGTAAATATACAAAAGTATGAAAGCTATTGCTTAACGCATTGTAAGCCGCCCTGAGTCTCCGGAGAAGGGCGGCATATAAATTAAAGCAAAAAAAAAAAAAAATTATTGGGTTATTATTGGATTATTATTGGTGCTCTGCAGTACAACTATAAAACCTGCAGTGGCTGGAATTAGCATGGGTTAATCCAATTTACTGATAAGGGGGCCACTTTCTGTAACAGTATGTGTGCATGATTAAGAATGTTCAATTGCTATCAGCAAGAATTGTTGGAACTCTTTAGAAAGAAGATTATATTTCATAATTATACTCTGGCTGCAAAGGGATTGTTAAAACAAAACAAAATATGAACATGGGTCAACATCGGGGTGAAATGCTCCCGGTTCGGACCGGATCGCCTGATCCGGTAGCAATGGAGGCGGGTGGTTCGGAGAACCAGTAGCAAAAATCCATGCCCCGCCCTCCCCCATGCCCAGTTGAGCCACACAATCATCAGAGGCTTTTTATTTTTATTTTTAAAAGCATTTTTTCTACAACCTCTTTGGCCAAAAAAATGCTTTTAAAAGTTTAAAAAAAAAAGCCTCTGATGATCGCGCGGCTCAGCTGGGATCATCAGAGGCTTTTAAAAGCATTTTTTCTACAATCTCTTTGGCCGAAGAGGTTATAGAAAAGATGTTTTTAAAGGGAAAAAAAAGCCTCTGCCGATCAGGCAAGTCAGCTGGGATCGTCAGAGGCTTTTAAAAAGAAAAAGAAAAGCCTCTGCCGATCAGGCAAGTCAGCTGGGATCATCAGAGACTTTAAAAAAAAAAGAAAAGCCTCTGCCGATCAGGCAAGTCATCTGGGATCGCCAGAGGCTTTAAAAGCATTTTTGTTACAACCTCTTCAGCCGAAGAGGTTGCAGAAAAAATGGTTTAAAAAGTAAAAAAAAAAAAAATTGGCCACGCCCACTCAGTCATATTACACACACCCCACCAAGCCACGCCCACAGAACCGGTAGTAACAAATTTTACATTTCACCACTGGTCAACCTGGGTATTATAACTCAACAGTGTGACATTTGCTTCACTCGTAGTTCACCGGAGTCCAATTTCCTAACATTATTTGTTTGGCTTGTTGTTAATGATCGTTCTTTCTATCACTTCTGCTTGAGCTTGGTGCTATGTAATAGGTTTCTAAGCTGCAATACAAACAGCTTTGTTTGTGAGATGTCGAGGGCATGGCAGGGTTTTGTGTGTGTGTACTACCAACATTGCCTGGGAAATGAAGCTAGGGAGATTTTTTTTTTTTCTCAGTGTAGTGAAACTGATTTAGGGATTATAGCCTTAATTAAATGAGATTTCATCCTGATTGCCTTATGAAATTAATTAGAGAGCAGGCAACTGGCCAAGTCGTCAACCCAGCGATATCAGTTTCTCCTCTGTTTTGTTTTGCAGCCTTGGTGGTTATGAAAGGATAGATTGGTTCTCTATCCAAAGAAACACTTAAATGTTGTTGTGTTGGCAGCAAATTGTGCTGAAAACGAGCCCTGAGGCAACCAGAATTTAGCAAGAAAAATGTATATGCTTTTATCGCCTCCTACTATTCCCACAGCCTGGCTACGTGGCTCAAGTGGCTAAGACACTGAGCTTGTCGATCAGAAAGGTCGGCAGTTCAGAGGTTCGAATCCCTAGTACAGGTCTCCTTCATGAGCAGGGCAGTGGTGGGTTCCTCCCGGTTCGGCCCGATTCGGCCGAGCCGGTAGCAGTGACGATATGACATCACCAAACCGGTTCTCTTTGTTCGGGAGCTGGCCCACCCGCCCACCCCACCCCCGTGTTATTCTTACCTTTTATTTGGCCCCACCCACAATCTATTGCTCCCTCCCGAGTCCCAGTTGATTGGCTAGAAGGAAAAAAACTGTTTAAACTCTTGCCACGGGGCTTCAAAGGGCCGCCCTACAGCTGATCAGTGTTAAAAGGTAGTGTGGTGGTAGACCAGTGCCTCCCAAAACAAATGGGTAGACCGGTGCCTCCCAAAACAAATGAGTAGACCGGTATAGCTCTGCAAGCAATTAAAAGCCTGGTAGACCAGTACCTCTGCTAAATCCTAAAGAATTGTCACGTGACCATAAAGCCACACCCACAGAACCGGTAGTAAAAAATTTAGAACCCACCCCTGGAGCAGGGGGTTGGACTAGATGACCTCCAAGGTCCCTTCCACCTCTGTTACTGTTACTGTTAATTAGGAGATGTTTGTCACGAGATCTGCACCGAGCAGTTACTCTACTGCAGTGATTCTCAATCTTGGCCACTGGAAGATAGGTGGACTTCATCTCCCAGAATTCCCCAGCCAGCAGGTCTGGCTGGGGAATTCCGGGAGTTGAAGTCCACCTATCTTCCGGTGGCCCAAATTGTGAAATACTGCTCTACTGTATGGCTTGTCACGTGATTTCTAAGCACTGCAATGTGTCACGTACAGTGCAAAAGGAATTCCAGTGTAAAAGTTCTTGAAGGAAATAATAACCTTATAGGTGTGTTTTTTTTAGAAATACCACTTGTTTTATTCCCATGTCTTTGGTGGGTTTTTCAGAATCATATCCTCACCTTGATGTCTGTGGCTGCTCAAATCTACAAGCACCCCAGCCTGAAGAATTCTATCAACCTGGTGGTGGTGAAGGTGTTGGTAGTGGAAGATGAAAACGCTGGACCAGAAGTATCTGACAATGGCGGTCTGATGCTGAGGAACTTCTGTAATTGGCAACAGTTCTTCAACCCTCTAAGTGACCGTCATCCAGAACACTATGACACTGCAATCCTGCTGACAAGACAGGTATTTAAGTGAAGGTTGGCTGATTTCTTCTGAGGGGTATCTTGAAGATGATCTAATAGAAGAATGGAGGACCGAGGAAGGAAGGGAAGGGAAATTAGAGGAGGAGAGAAGGTAAGATGGGGGGGTGGGGGGAGAGAGGAGGAGAAGGAGAAGGGAAGGGGAAGATCTAGCTATTCCAACGAATGGGCTGATTCTGATTCTTGGGTTTTATTATTTTTTATTATTGATTATTATTGATTTTAATCAGGTTTTAGCGGGATTTTATTATGGCATGTTTTGTTTTTTTTTAAAATCTGTGTTCGCCGCCCTGAGTCCCTCGGGAGAAGGGCAGCATATAAATACTTGTTAAATAAAGTAATTAATTAATTAAAATAAAATAAAATAAGTAGAGAAGAGAAGAAGAGGATGGGGAAAGAAAGTAGGAAGGGATAGGGAAGAGGGAGAGGGTAGGGTTGAGGAGAAAGATTGCTGTACAATTAAAAAAAAAAGATGAACTGGAAGAAAGGCAACTCTGAACAAACAAATATAAATATATTAAGATAAAGAATGAATTGTTTAAGAATAAAAGAGAATAAATATGAATAAACAGTAAAGTTAGAATCTAGGGGCAAATGAAGATGGTGTTTATGTATGCAAGAATAGAAATATTGAGATATGTTTTTAAAAAAAAGAAAAGGGGGAAGATGATTTTGGCAAGAATTGTATTTGAATCTGATTAATTGTATAAGATAAGAAATGGCCAACACTCTGTTCAAAAAAAAAAAAGATGTGGGTGAATGTGGGAGAGGAGGAAAAAAAACCAATAAAACTTGTTTTAAAAAAAGAAGAAGAAGAAGAAGAATGGAGGACCATTCCTTTGTAACTCAACATTCATATCATTTCCATCTTACCTTTTTCAATCGCAGGATTTCTGCGGACGTCAAACCTGCAGAACCCTTGGAGTCGCTGAGACCGGAACCATGTGTGATCCAAACAAAAGCTGCTCCGTGATAGAAGATGAGGGTCTCCAAGCAGCTTACACCTTGGCCCATGAACTAGGTAGCTACTATGCCTAGCTTGATGGGTAGTCCGTCATCGTAGCAAAATCGGCATCTGCCTTGTAGAAAGGCTACCCCTACATATTGTAGGATGCCTTCTCAAGATTTATTTATTTATTTATTTATTTATTTATTTATTTATTGAATTTCTATACCGCCCTTCTCCCAAAGGACTCAGGGCGTTGAACAGATTAAGATTTCATATACATATAATATTTTATATATATATATAAACAGTAAATAATAGATTGAGCCAACTTGGTGTATCTGCTAAGACCTTGGCATAGAATTTAGGTGTTTATGCTAGCCCTGCTTGTTGAAACAGAAAGGACATCAGGGCACGTTAGAAAGTGCGAAGATCTGGGATTATTCGTATTCCAGGGGGTATTTTGTTCCAAAGAGTAGGTGCCCCCACAGAGAAGGCTCTCTCCCTTGGAACTACTAGATGACATTGTTTTAATGATGGTACTATGAGTAGGCCTACTCTGTGAGAGCGTATTGGTTGGTGGGAGGTTATCGGTTGCAGCAGGTGGTCTCGTAAGTACTCAGGTCCTAAGCCATGGAGCACTTTAAAGGTAAGAACCAACACCTTGAAGCGCACTCGGAAGGCCACCGGAAGCCAGTGCAGCTCGTGTAAAAGAGGTGTTACATGTGAGCGCCATGTTGCTCCCATAATTACTCGCAGGCCGCATTCTGGACCCAGTTGGAGCTTCTGGGTGCACTTCAAGGGGAGCCCCATGTAGGGAGCATTGCAGTAGTCAAGTCGGGAAATGACGAGGGCTTGAGTGACTGTGCGTAATGAGTCCAGTCTAGAAAGGGACGCAATTGGCGAATCAGGCGAACCTGATAGAAAGTTCCTCTGGCCACGGCTGTTATATGATCTTCTAAAGACAGTCGTGCATCCAGATTGGCCGTTAAAGAAAGGATGATAGGTGGGCTTGTTGATAGTCTCTGAGCTAGCTGGTTTTCTTGCAGACATTTCATTACTCAACTAGGTAGCATCATCAATTGTGAGAGAAAAGTTATTTCTCAATTGCTGTGCCTATTAACGGCCTTTGACATGGACAGGTAAATAAGCCAATCAGAAAGCAGCTAATAGGTTTGAATCTCCCGGGTTTTTATATTCCCTCCCCTAACTGGCACAGTTGACAGTATAAAAGGAGATTCTTGACAGAAAACCGATCTCTTCTGTTAGAAAACTGTGGGTAGTTTGGAAGTCAGTTAGAAGGGTAGTTCTGATGGTTTACAAGATTATTTCTTCTGAGGAAGAATAGCTAGAACTAACATCGCTTAGAACGATTATATATATATGTATGTATGTATGTATGTATGTATGTATGTATGTATGTATGTATTACTGTTTTAGCCAGGGTTTTTCCTACGTAAAACAAGATGTTTGTATAGCCATAGTTAAGTGACATCCCAAATCACTATTTTCTAGGCTTTATCAGACATTTAAGCAGTATTATGTTGTCTGCTGCAAGACTTAAGGGAGACTAGAATAGATCTATTTCTGCCTTATTTGGCTTCATCGGCTAGCCACACCCTCATTTTATGACTCCTCCCTGTAACGGTCAAATATTTATTTTGTTCATTTTTTGACCATTACAGGGAGGAGTCATAAAATGAGGGTGTGGCTAGCCGATGAAGCCAAATAAGGCAGAAATTGATCTATTCTAGTCTCCCTTAAGTCTTGCAGTAGTCAACATAATGCTGCTTAAATGCCTGATAAAGCCTAGAAAATAGTGATTTGGGATGTCACTTAACTATGACTATACAAACATTTTGATTTACGTAAGAAAAACCCTGGCTAAAACAGTAATACACATATAGACCTACGAAAAAATGAACAATATATATATATATATATCTCTGACAGGATATTTAAGTATTTGAATAGATATTGTTTTATTTTTATGTAAATAAAAACATTTATTGTTAACTGCTTCAGAGGCTCATTTGTTAAAGTAGATCTTAATAGAGATAAAGGTTGACGGTACATTGATTTATTTCCTCCATCGACATCAATGCATTGATCAATGCATCTATCATCATTTAGAAGAGAATATTTGTAGCTCAGGGCTGAACTGTGAAGTCCTTGGTGCTCTCTGAGCATGGTGGTTTTCTTGCAGACATTTCATTATCCAACTAGGTAACATCAATGCAGCTACATTCCTGAGCTACAAATATTCTCTTCTAAAAGAGGATAGGTTAAATGGCTTTCTATGATGAAAGGTAGAGAAGAACCCATCAGCACCAACATGACATAATATTCCAAGAAGGAATACCTGAGAATATATAAATAGAGTTAAGATTTGTGTACTGTTGGAACGACGTTGAATTGTACAACTATCATGGACGTATTTTTGTTACAGATGTATTTGTATTAGTATTTTAATATTTTAAATTTTAATGAAGGGTTTTTTTTGAAAATTATATCTTTTATTATAATGGCAGTTTGATGCCAGAAAGATATGAGTGCATGTTTCAGGGGCCCATTCTTGCTAATTTAGAGAAGTACCTTATTAGTATTTGAATCCTGCATCAGAAATAGATGTTGAGTGAGACCTTAGAAAGAGTGCAGAGAAGAGCAACAAAGATGATAAGGGGTCTGGAGGTTAAACTGTATGAGGAATGATTGAGGGAACTATATATGTCTAGTCTAATGAAGAGAAGGGCTAAAGGCAGGGGTGGGATTCAAAAATTTTAGCAACCGGTTCTCTGCCGGTTGCTGGGTGGGCATGGCCATGGTGGGCGTGGCCTACTCAGCCTCCTACACCATGGCAGGGAGGCGTTTTCGCCCTCCCCAAACTCCGGAGGCTTCCCTCGAGCCTCTGGGAGGGCGAAAATGGCCTCCCCCAGGCTCCGGATGTCCTCCAGAGACCGGAAACGGGCCCATTTTTGGACTTCCAAAACTTCTGGAAGTCCTGTTTTTCGGCCTCTGGAGGCCTCCAGAGGCCCTCTGGAGGCTGGAAATGGGCCTGTTTCCAGACTTTGGGAACTTCTGGGATGCCTGTTTTTCACCCTCCCGGAGCTTCCGTGCGGGCGCTGCATTTACTTGGCATCCAAAATGGGTCGAATGAAGACTCCTGGGAGGGGCAGGGTAGCCGGGGCCAGCCAGTCCTTGCAACTACCGGTTTGGTGAATCAGATGTAAAATTAGCATCCAATTCGCCCGAACTGGTCCGAACCGGCTGAATCCCACCCCTGGCTAAGGGTGATAAAATAGCAGACTTACAGTACTTGAAGGGTTATCACAGAAAAGAGGGAGTCAACCTATTATCAAGAGATCCAACCTAGAACTAAGGAGAAATGTCCTAACAGTGAGAACACTTAATCAGTGGAATGGTGTGCCTTCAGAAGTTATGTGTGCTCCTTCTCTTTCAAGAAGAGATTGGACAGCCATTTGTCTGGAATGGTACAGGGTCTCCTGCTTGAGCAAGGGGTTGGACTAGAAGACCTCCAAGGTCCTTTCCAACCCTATTATTCTATACTCTAAAAGTTCAGGTTCCCCTGGCACATATGTGCTAGTCGTTCCCGACTCTAGGGGACGATGCTCATCTCCGTTTCAAAGCTGAACATCCAGCGCTGTCCAAAGACCTCTCCGTGGTCATGTGGCCAGCATGACGAAACGCCAAAGGCGCACAGAACGCTGTTACCTTCCCACTAAAGGTGGTCCCTATTTTTCTACTTGCATTTTTTACGTGCTTTCGAACTGCTAGGTTGGCAGAAGCTGGGACAGGTAACAGGAGCTCACCCCATTATGCAGCACTAGGGATTCGAACTGCTGAACTGCCGACTTTTCGCTCGACAAGCTCAGCGTCTTAGCCACCGAGCCACCTAACCATCCATTTTTCTTTCTTTGCAGGGCACGTGCTCAGCATGCCCCATGATGACTCCAACAGCTGCAAAAGGCTCTTTGGGACATTAGGAAAACATCACATGATGGCTCCATTGTTTATTCATCTAAACAAGACCCTGCCTTGGTCCCCCTGCAGTGCCATGTATATCACAGAATTCCTGGATGGAGGACACGGTACATATCCTCATATATGTATATAATCATGCTGAGCTTGTTTGACAATATTTGTTGAATAAGTTTCAACCCTTGCAAACAGGATCAGGTTCATGTTTCAAAACGCCGTTTTGGGACCCAAATCTGATGCATGCCAAGCTGGACTGAATTTTTGTAAGTCAGTTTTGTATGAGCAAAGGGGAGCATCGCTTTAATAAATGAAACGAAATGAAATATGTTTTTGGAGAAATAGCACTGATCAAAAACTTAGTCATGTGTTACCTTCATTTCAAAGAACACTTTACAGATTTCACCGTATTTAATGCAAATTGATGCCAATTCAATGTTCATTTCATTAGAACAATTCAATGTTTATTTCAAAGAACACTTTACAGATAAAAGTCTATCTTTTAAACATTCTAAGCTTCAATGCAACTTACTTGTCAAAACATGGGTACTCAAACAAGGGTACCGATGTGCAGAACGTTTGCAAACTTAATTCATAAAGTCTTAAAAATAAAAATAAAAAGGTCTGGATCTTTATTATGGTTTTGCTCACCTGATAAGATATATCTACCTCAGATTGAAGACTCCTTGAGATAAATGAGTGGATGGGTGGATGGATGCAGGGGTGAAATCCAGTAGGTTCTGACAGGTTCTGGAGAACCGGTAGCGGAAATTTTCAGTAGTTTGGAGAACTGGCAAATACCACCTCTGGCTGGCCCCAAAGTGGGGTGGGAATGGAGATTTTGCAATATCATTCCCCCAGGAGTGGGGAGGGAATGGGGATTTTGCAGTATCCTTCCCCTGGATGGGGTGGGAACGGAGATTTTGCAGTTCCTGCCCCTGCCACGTCCACCAGGCCATGCCCACAGAACCGTAAAAAAAAATGAATTTCACCAATGGATGGATGGATGGATGGATGGATGGATGGATTTATCTGCTTATTTGTTTGTTTGTTTTAGAGTAGAAAGATTAAGACAATAGCTACGGCCAATTTCTGCTTTATGGACTTCTTTAAGAGCCTCGTGGAAATTTGGCTGTAAGGATGATACATTCTTTGAGACAGTCTTTGTACTTTTTCCTCTTTCACCAGGTAACTGTCTGCTTGATGAACCAGCCCAACCTATTGCCCTCCCGACTGACCTTCCAGGCCAAATACCATTGTATAACCTAGACCAGCAGTGTCAGCAAATATTTGGCAAAGAGTTCCAACACTGTCCAAATGCCACACAGGAAGACGTCTGCTCCCAGCTTTGGTGCAAGTTGGAAACTGGAGAGCAACTTTGCCACACCAAAAATGGCAGCTTGCCCTGGGCTGATGGGACACCCTGTGGGCCAGGGAAAATATGTTTGGAGAGCCACTGCGTGGCACAAGATACGGTGATGCCCAAGGTAATCTTGGAGTGAGATATAATGTAGACCACCTATCTCTAATAAGGTAGAAATAGCACATGAAGAACATCGATAGTATTTATTTGGTTGGGACTGGGTTGAATAGAAGCATCTATAATGGAGTCAAATCAGACATGAAGAACCAGCAAAGAGAAGATGTTCAAAACTTTCAAAGCTCTGTGTGATAAATGAGAGAATGTAAACATGAGAGGACAGAGAAAAAACATACCTACCTTTTTCCCCGAAAATAAGACACCCCCTGATAATAAGCCCAACTGGGCTTTTGAATGCATGAGCTAAAATAAGCCTCCCCCAAAAAATAAGACCTCCCTGAAAATATTTAAACGCAGAGCTAGAAATCAGGTAAGATGGCAAGAGGAGCCCCGTCTTGCTCCACACGCCCCAAAATAATGTTGAGCGGTCTGAGAAAGACCTCCTCGAAAATAAGGCCAAGCACTTATTTTGGGGTTCAAAAAATATAAGACAGGGTCTTATTTTCGAGGAAACACAGTATTACTCTCTGGCTGACTGATTAGGATTAGAATGGTCTTCCAGTTGTTACAAAGATCTTTTTCTTTCTTTCCTTTGTTTATATCTGACCTTTATTATTTTTGTTATAACTCAAGACTGCGAACATACCTAATAATCCTTCCTCCTCCTATTTTCCCCACAACAGTAACCAAGTGAGGTGACTTGGGCTGAGAGAGAAGGACTGGCCCCAAAGTCATCCAGTTGGCTTTCATGCCTAAGGCAGGACTAGAACTCACAATGTCCTAGCGATTGGCCCAAAGTCATCCAGTTGGCTTTCATACCTAAGGCGGGACTAGAACTCACAATGTCCTAGTGATTGGTTCAAAGTCATCTGGTTGGCTTTCATGACTAAGGCAGGACTAGAACTCACAGTCTCTTGGTTTCTAGCCAAGTACCTTCAACCCTAGACCAAACTGGCTCTTCATCCAAAGCAGAGAATAGATGTTGAGACTCTAGAAAGAGTGCAGAGAAGAGCAACAAAGATGATTAGTAGACTGGAGGCTAAAACATACGAAGAATGGTTGCAGGAACTGGGTCAGTAGTGGGATTCAGCCAGTTTGCACCACTTCGGGAGAACTGGTTGTTAACTTTCTGAGCATTTTGGTGACCTGGATGTTCGAAAAAATCATTAGGGCAGGGAACCGGTTGTTAAATTATTTGAATCCCACCACTGGGTATATCTAATTTCATGAAAAGAAGGACTAGGGGAGACATGATAGCAGTGTTCCGATATCTCAGGGGCTGCCCCAAAGAAGAGGGAGTCAAGCTATTCTCCAAAGCACCTGAGGGCAGAACAAGAAGCAATGGGTGGAAACTAATCAAGGAGAGAAGCAACCTAGAACTTTCCTGACAGTTAGAATAATTAATCAGTGGAACAACTTTTTTTTTTTTTAATTTGATTTATATGCCGCCCTTCTCTGGAGACTCAGGGCGGCTTACAATGCGTTAAGCAATAGCCTTCATACTTTTGTATATTTATACAAAGTCAGCTTATTGTCCCCACAAACTGGGTCCTCATTTCACCTACCTTAGAAAGGATGGAAGGCTGAGTCAACCTTGAGCCTTGGAGAGATTCGAACCAGCAGAAATTGCAGGCAGCTGTGTTAATGACAGGGTGCACTAAACCACTGTACTATCAAGGCTCTTGCCTCCAGAAGTTGTGAGTGCTCCAACACTGGAAGTTTTTAAGAAGATGTTGGACAACCATTTGTCTGAAGTGGTGCAGGGTTTCCTGCCTAAGCAGGGGGTTGGACTAGAAGACCTTCAAGGTGCCTTCCAACTCTGTTATTCTATTCTATCTCTTGGGGACCTTTCATCTCCTTCTAGGTACCAGAGATGTGTCCTTCTCTCTCTTTTTCTAAGACAACCACTACAATAGTTGGAGCAAAGCAGAGCATCTTACCGCTCCTTCACCAGAGGGCAGAGGGGATCAGGGTGTTTTCCCGGTTGCTTTAATATTTTCCTGGGAGAGTCTCTAAGCCATAATCCAACCATTTGTGTCTTGCAGCTTGCTGTGGATGGAAACTGGGGTCCCTGGAGCATGTGGGGGCCGTGTTCCAGGACATGCGGCGGAGGGGTGCATTTCTCTTACAGAGACTGTGACAACCCAGTGCCCAAAAATGGGGGCAAATACTGTGAGGGGCAAAGAGTGCAATATGAGTCTTGCAACATTGAGGAATGCTCCCCAACAGGTAATTGACTCTTTTATAGCAACGTTTGCTATCAAGTGTTATTAGACATTTGTACTGAAATGGCTTGTGCAGAAATGAATCAATAACCCGGTAGCTGGATATCTGCTAGGGTAGTCTTCATTTTTAATCCCCTCAGTTTGGCACCAAGGGTGACGATGCCTCCCTTAAGGTTCTACAGGTTTCACAGCAATTTACAGCATCCCACAGTCACGGGACCATATCTTGCCTTGGTTTTGCCGAAAATCTGAATTTACTGCCAGTTTTCTATAATTCTGTTAGAAACTCAGTGGCGCAATGGTTAGAGTGCAGTACTGCAGGCTGCCTGCAATTTAGCAGTTCAAACCCCACCAGGCTCAAGGTTGACTCAGCCTTCCATCCTTCTGAGGTGGGTAAAATGAGAACCCAGATTGTTGGGGGGCAATAGGCTGACTCTGTAAACCGCTATGCAGTATGGCATAGCTGCTCACTCAACAGAGCTCAGGTAGGATATGAGTTAAGGCAGGCTGCATATCTACACAATAGAATTAGTTGCTTTGCAGCTGAAATATCAGATAGCTGTATTCCCAGGTAAATGCAAATTATGTTTGGTGAAAGTGAAGTTAGGATAGACCCAACAGATGTTGTAGGCTGTCAATCAGGTTCCTGCACCACTTTCAGGTCAGAGAAGGTAGAGATGAAAAGTTTTGCAAATGACTGGCCTGAAAACGAAACGTTGAAAATGAGATTTTATGTTGTGCGTGTATCTGCGTTCACGTGAGCTCCTTTCATTTCCATTGTAGACAAAAGCTTTCGAGAGCACCAATGTGAGAAATATGACAGATACAACTTAACCGACTTGAATGGGAATTTGCTAGAATGGGTTCCCATGTATGCCGGAGTGTCTCCTCGAGATCGTTGCAAGTTAGTCTGCCGGGCTAAAAGAGGGAACGAGTTCAAAGTCTTTGAGACCAAAGTAAGAATTCTGTTTATGTGTCCACTATTTATACAGATTTCAAAACCTCTTGCCTTGGGAGAAAAATCTATATACCGTATTTTTCGAAGTATAAGATGCACCTTTTTCCCCCCTAAAAGGGGGTGAAAATTTAGGTGCACCTTATACACCGAATGTAGCCCCACCCACCCATTGGCCCCACCCTTTGGCCTCTGTCTCCCAGCAATTTACCTCCTTGCAGCAAGCAGCAAGAAGAAACAGCCCATTTCAGTTTCAGCACATCCTAATTAGCACAAGTTGATTGTTCTTTGGATTGGCCTCCCGACGCTCAGCTGTTTCAGGCTGCAGGAATTGCCATTGCCTATTGCTGCATGGCAGGGGTGGGTTCTACTTACCTTTACTACCGGTTCGCAACAGGATTGCGCATGCGCAGGTCGCTTCTGATGACGTCAGGGTAAGTGGGCGGAGCCTCCCACCAGTTTTACTACCGGTTCTATAGAACCGGTCCGAACCGGGGGCAACCCACCACTGCTGCACAGGCCGCTGCTGCTTGCTGCAAAGAGGTAAATTGCTGGGAGCAGATTTTTTTTTTCTTGTGCTAATCAAGCTATGCTGAAAGCGAAAATGAAAGTAAAGCAGGCTGTTTGCTGTTTGCTGCACGAGGCAAAATTACTGGGAGGCAGAGGCAGATTTCTTTTTCTTGTTTTCCTCACCAAAAAAGATAGGTGCATCTTATATTCCGGAGCGTTTTATACTCCAAAAAATACGGTATATAGCTGGAGGCGTAGATGAAAACTCTCATCCATCAGAATTATTACATCCGTCTGCCACATTTGCAAATGTGCAGAAGAATCTGAACGTATCCACACATGCCTAAACCCACATGTTTGGGAATTCTGTAGCACAAGATGTACGAAGTTATTTATAGGATCATTCAAGCCTATAATGCACTATTGTTGATACAATATTTAAAAAAAACGCTTTTCAAAAGCATGCAGTTTATGAGCAGCAATAACCAAAAGAATGAATATGTTTGAAATGTAAATGAAAATATACATCAATTGATGGAAAAGTGGAAGCATAAAGAAACTGTTATTAGCAAAACAAGAACTGACCACAATTGAAACCAATAGCTTTGCAATATTCTCCATGTTTCTAAAGAGATATCCGTAAGAAATATATTTAAAGGAAAGGAATGTCTTTCCAGCCATTAGAAATGCACTAAAGAGTGATAAGGGACGCTGTGGCTCAGTGGCTAAGACGCTGAGCTTGTCGATTGAAAGGTTGGCAGTTCAGCAGTTCGAATCCCTAGTGCCGCGTAACGGGGTGAGCTCCCGTTACTTGTCCCAGCTTCTGCCAACCTAGCAGTTCAAAAAGAAATGCAAGTAGAAAAATAGGGACCACCTTTGGTGGGAAGGGAACAGCGTTCTGTGCGCCTTTGGTGTTTAGTCATACCGGCCACATGACCACGGAGACGTCTTCGGACAGTGCTGGCTCTTCGGCTTTGAAACGGAGATGAGCACCGCCCCCTAGAGTCAGGAACGACTAGCACATATGTGCGAGGGGAACCTTTACCTTTACGTTAAAGAGTGATAATGGATAGATCGACTTCATTTTATTCTTCCTTTCTTTTTATATCAGGTGGTTGACGGGACGACCTGCGCACCTGAAACACTCTCTGTCTGTGTGCATGGACAATGCATCAAGGCTGGTTGTGATCATATTATTGGGTCTTCGAAGAAACTAGACAAATGTGGAGTTTGTGGTGGGGACTGCTCAACTTGTAGAAAAATATCTGGCTCACTCAACAAATCCAAGTAAGGAAACCCCACAAACGTTTTGCAAAGCTTGGTGCCCTGTTAGAGCTGAGTTATAGTTTTATGAACACACACGCAAAAATCCAAAAATCTTCCAGTGACTATTGGGATTAGAATCCAGAAATCCTTCCCACAGCAGAAAGTGAGCTTCTCCAAATTGTGTTTGCACTTTCAATGCTAATATGAAAAAGGTGGGGGGAAAATAAATAACCAGGATTAATCATCCATATTTAGAGTGGCCTAGAGGTTCAGACGCTCGCCTCATACTCAGGAGGTTGAGAGTTCAATCCTAGGCAGCGGCAGATGTTTCTGTATCAGGGCGCAAGGAAAAAAATATCTGCTGTGAAGTCCACATAGGCATCAGGAAGGGCATCCGGCCAGTAAATGCTCAGCTCCATTCAGTCGCCCCGACTCCACCCCAATAAAAGGGATTACAGGGTCGTAAAAAGAAAAGAAAAATCAGAGTATCCATGTTTAATTAACTGTATTTTATATGTAATTGATGTCCATTTTGCATTTTGTTTTGGCCCCACCATTTGTATTTCCTGAATATTTTAGGACCAGTCACCCTCAATGCAAAAAAAAAAAAAAGCACTTGAATAACACAGCAGAATATGATGAATAAGAATGGTTTCATTTTACCCCATTGAGACCTCTGGTATTTAATGGTGTAGTGCATTTTCGTTACTGTTCCTTAATTCCTGCACATGATTAGAGTCTTTGGAGATCCAAAGGTCAGTTACAAGCCTTTTAGCTTCTTGCAATAGCCAAGAGAAAATACAGGAGCAGGATGCTTCTAGTTATGGAGTGATACATGTTGTTCTTCAGCAGACTTTTGTTCACACTGTTGTTTAACTGAAGATAACCAGGGGTGGGCTGCTGGGGGTTCTCAGGGGTTCGGGAGAACCTCTAGCTAAGATTCTGTGCAGTTCGGAGAAACCCCAAATCCCTCTCCTGGCTGGCCCCGCCCACTGCATCCCTCCCCTCCCAGGAGTCCCCACACGGCCCCTTTTGAATGAAGGTAAGTGCAGGGCGTACGCAGACGCTCAGAGAGGGCGAAAAATGGGCCTACCGGAAGTTCAGGAAGGCCAGAAATGAGCCCATTTTCAGTTTCCAGAGGGCCTCCAGAGCCTGAGGAGGCCGTTTTCACCCTTCTGGAAGCTCAAGAAAAGCCTCCAGAGCCTGGGGAGGGCAAAAACACCCCCCCCACCACCACCATGGTGCAGGAGGCCAACTAGGCCATGCCCACCATGGCCATGTCCACCCAGGCAGAGAACCCCTTGCTAAAATTTTTGAAGCCCACCCCTAAGCGATACATGTTGTTCTTCAGCAGACTGTTGTTCACACCGTTGTTTAGCTGACGATAACACCCATTTCTTTCATCTCTGTAGGTTTGGCTACAACGACATTGTCACCATTCCAGCCGGAGCGACCAACATTGATATCAAGCAACACAGCCGACGAGGAGTAAGGCATGACGGAAATTATTTAGCTCTGCGGACCCTGGATGGCAAATACCTGCTGAATGGAAACTTCACCATCTCCGCTATGGAACAAGACATTTTTGTGAAGGGGACTGTCCTGAGGTACAGCGGCTCCCTGACCACCCTGGAACGCCTCCAGAGTTACCAGCAGCTCCCTGAATCCATTGTCGTCCAGGTGTTGACCGTTTCCAGCGAGATGTTCCTCCCTAAGGCATTCCCCCCTCCCAAGGTGAAATATACCTTTTTTATCCCCAAGGACCTCCAATTCAGCAAGCAGAAGGTCAAGGAGAAAAGCCTGGCCAACATGATCAAGCCCTTGTTGACCTCGCAATGGGTTCTGGGAGACTGGTCAGAGTGCTCCAAGTCCTGCAGCTCGGGTTGGCAAAGACGAACCGTAGAATGTCTGGATGTGGAAGGGCAGCCTTCATCTACCTGTGACAAGGCCCTCAAGCCCGAGGACATCAAACCGTGCAGTGGCCTTCCTTGCCCAATCTGGCAGATGGGACCGTGGTCCCCCTGTTCCCAAACATGTGGAGAAGGAATGCGGACACGAAGCGCCTTGTGCATTGACTACCTAGGCAAGCCCGTTGCCTTCGAGAAATGCAATTTGTTGCAGACCCCAGCAGCCACTATGGTCTGTGTCCTCCAGCAGTGCTGAAGTGAACTGAAGGCCGGCATGCGATCTCAGAAGCCTCTGTAACCTAGTCTAACTACTAACCTAACTCCAACTAGGCTTGGCGTGTCCAAGCAAGGGAGTAGTTTTAAGGCCAACGGGCACTAACTGACTTGAAGAGGTCTTATTTCATATCCCTGTTTGAAATATTAGAAGGCATGGGTTACCACCACTAACCCCCACCCTCCTCTCTCTCTTTCTCTGTTGTGCTTTGTTTTCCTCCAAATTGACATCTACCTCAGTGGGGGGAAAAAAATAAGAATTTTTGATAAATCATTTGACATTTTGGAGAGAGAAAAATAATGTCTGCAGGTCAATACTTGGTAACTAAGGGAAGTTCGTGTCCTAAGTCATCCCGGCAGGTGAGACGAAACTCACCTCCGCTTTCACCCAGTGTCTTTTGTGGGTTGGATTTTACGAGACGTTATTGAAGATGCTGCTGTTCTTGCGATGCAGAGTTAATCCCCCATGAACACAGTTGTGTGCGTCCTTCAGTTAGCAAAAGAGCTGCAAGCCTTTGGGGAGGGCAGGCATACAAATTTCTGTCTTTGATATTGGCAAGCGGTAAGTCAGTCCTTGGTTTAGTGGACGCAAATGAAGATCGGGGTTCATAGTTTGGACAAATCGGTCCCAGGGAGTTTGATTGGGATGATAAGCAGGCTTATGCAATGTTTCTTCAAATGCAGGTAGTCCTCGATTTACGGCCACGATTGGGCCCAAAATTCCTGTCGCTGCGCGAGACATTTGTTAAGTGAGCTTTGTTCCATTGTACAACCTTTCTTGCCACTGTTGTTAGGTGAATCCGGCCTCCCCACTGACTTTGCTTGTCAGAAAGTCAGAAAAGGTGATTACATAACCCATTGATACTACAGTCATCCTAAATACGAATTAGTTAATCAAGTGTCTGAATTTTAATCCCATGACCATGGGGATGCTGCAATGGTTGTAAGTCGCTTTTTTCAGTTCGTTTAGTGACAATTTTGAATTGTCACTAAACGAACCGTTGTAAGTTGAGGGCTATCTGTATTATCATAAGAGTTTGAGAACTGCAATGGGTCGTCGGCTGACTTCCTCTGCAATTGACCATGAAATCTTTATCAATGGTTATCAATCTTTTTTATATGTCTTCCTGTTAAATGAGATGTTATTCTACAGCAGTATCTCCATATTACCATTCACTCCTCATCTTAGCATTGGGGATTCAAAATAATAGATGTAATCAGGGGTGAAATCCAGCAGGTTCTGACAGGTTCTGGAGAACCGGTAGTGGAAATTTTGAGCAGTTCGGAGAACCGGTAGCGGAAATTTTAAATAGTTCGGAGAACCGGCAAATACCACCTCTGGCTGGCCCCAGAGTGGGGTGGGAATGAAGATTTTGCAATATCCTTCTCCCAGGAGTGGGGAGGGAATGGGGATTTTGCAGTATCCTTCCCCTGGAGTGGGGTGGGAATGGAGATTTTGCAGTGTCTTCCCCTGTCACGCCCCACCAAGCAACACCCACCAAGCCACATCATGCCCACCAAGCCACACCCACAAAACCGGGTGTAAAAAAATTTGGATTTCACCACTGGATGTAATCCAGGGGTGTCAAACTCAAGGCCCAGGGGCCAGATGTGGCCTGTGGGATTCTTAGATCTGGGCCGCAGGGCTGCCCTGGAAACAGTGAAGGACTGGCTGTGGTGCCTCTGCCAGTGAAAACAGAGCTAGGGAGGGCCACAGACGGTTGCAGGAGGGCCGCAGATAGTTGCAACGTCGCAGCCGAAAACGGAGCTCGGGAGGCCATTTTTGCTGGCAGAGCGCTTGTGCCACCACAGGCGCCCCCAACACAAGTGTCTTTGAGCTGGCCACGCCCACCCTAGCCACACCCACCCTGGGGCCCCCAAGGTCAGACAACACTGATGCAGCCCTCAGTGTTTGACACCCCTGATGTAATCCATGCTTCCCTTTATGGTCATATATCATTCATTATTTTGGAAGCTTAGGTAGCAATATGAATGCCAGCACTGTAGGAAAAATAACTAAAAAGATATGGGTAGAATATGCCTCCAGATCCATTCTAATATTAGGGGTGAGTGCATGATTAATATTTCTCCTTCCCTCAATTTTTTTGGAGGCCGGGCACAATCTTAAGAATCACAAAAAAAATGCACTAAAGAAGGATTTTTATTGTACTTTCCTAAGATTATTTGGTAACGTCATGAAGAAGTGTCCCTCGCAGGTAAAAAATTCATCTTTGAAGCTGTAATTTGCAGATAAAAACACGAGGTCATCAAACAAATGCTGTGAATATCAGCCAAGGCACGTTAATCCAAATTTACTAGGGCACTGTGATCCACTGCATAATGCAAAGAAAAATATTTCAGTAGTCTCTTGACTCTTGGCTTAGGTTAATCGTGGTTTAGCATTTTCTCATCCAGAGAAACTCTTCATTATTTCTAGTCTATCCTGTGTTTGTTCAGCTTACGCACTTTTCAAAAGGACCATTTAGAAAAAAAAAACCTTTTTATCAGATTCCTTATTATTTGTAAATAGATATCCCGGTTTTAATATGACTCAAATGGATGTGTCAGTATTGAAATTTATATCTCTAACTTCTTGGGATTTTTGTCATCTGTCTAATTTTCAGACTAAAGCAAATCAAGGCTCAGATACAGTACACGAAACAGGATATTGGTGCTTAATTAACACATTACCATTATTTTACAATGATGAGTAGCAAAGTTCTAGCTGCTTTTTTTCCCTGTTTTAGGCATTGTGTTCAAAATGATGTTAACAACCTCATACTAAAACATCTGGTCTATATACTCTTGAAAGAGAATGGTGGTCTTTATTCTCCTAAATTAGCCTTTAGCATTTTCCATGATCCATTCTAGAAGTCCTGAAAAATGAATTTCCCTTTTGTCCTTGCAAAATTCACTATGTCTCTTCATTTGCTGCATCTTTAATTCTCTAATTCTCAACTTTAACCATTTCAGCTTTCATCCTTTAATTCTGATTGGCTACACAGCCAATCAGTGTATAATCATTCTCATTCTGATTGGCTACAAAATTGCTAACGATTTTGAAATAATCTCGAATGGTTTTGAACTATCGAACAAGATTTTGTTCCCTGCATGAGCCTCTGTGTGACTTATTTAGGAAACAGCTCCATTTTCTCTTAGATAAGCAAGGAATTCGGCCTTTTTAAGAAGTGTCGTTCAAAAATAGCAACAGCAACATAGTTCTTTCCACTCTTAAATTATGCTGATGTCGTAAGGAATAGTTAAATGGAAGCCAGATATTTTGATGTTGAAAGGTAGCATGCCTCAGTTCTGGGACACAACAACATTCCGGTCAGAGAACATGGGTTTACAGTGGGCCTTGTTCCATAACTACAAAGTGGTAATATGACTAGGGACGTGGTGGCTCAGTGGCTCAGTGGCTAAGATTGTCGATTAGAAAGGTCGGCAGTTCAGCAGTTCGAATCCCTAGTGCCGCATAACGGGGTGAGCTCCCGTTACTTGTCCCAGCTTCTGCCAACCTAGCAGTTTGAAAGCATGTAAAAAATGCAAGTAGAAAAATAGGGACCAATTTTGGTGGGAAGGTAACAGCGTTCTGTGTGCCTTTGGCATTTAGTCATGCCGGCCACATGACCACGGAGACATCTTCAGACAGCACTGGCTCTTCGGCTTTGAAACAGAGATGAGCACCGCCCCCTAGAGTCGGGAACGACTAGCACATATGTGTGAGGGGAACCTTTACCTTTAGCCTTTAATTTGTATTTATCTCTTCTGGACACATCTAAGTTCTACCTGGTGAAATGCAAAGATACAAAGATGCTTGCAGCAAGTTCTTCCATTTCTCTCTGTGTGCAAATGCAATATTTTCTTCTTTAAGACCACTACAGGTAGGTAAGATTGTTGGTAGTCCTCAACGTATGACCACAATTGACCCCCACCGTTATTTTGCTAAGTGAGAAATTTGTGTTGCCCCATTTTACAACTTTTCTTGCCACGATTGTTAAGTGAATCACTCGCAGTTGTTAAAGTTAGTCACCCGGTTGTTAAGTGAATCTGACTTCCCCCCGGACTTGGCTTGTCAGAAGGTTGCAAAAGGGGATCCCATGACCCCAGGGACACTCATCTGTCATAAACGTGAGTCAGTGGTCAGACATCCAAATGTAAATCAAGTGACCGTGAGGATGCTACGTCAGTCATAAGTCTGAAAAATGCTCATAAGTCACTTTTTTCAGTGCTGTTGTAGCTTTGAATGGTCACTAAACAAACTGTTGTAAGTTGAGGACTGACTGTATATAGTAATGGAATGGGGGTAGGGGGAGAAACATGCAGATTTTGATTGTCCCAGCTATGTGTAGAAGAAGATAGGATGGAATCACTCTTAAGATTCTGCTGAATTTCTGTCTGCATTTGAACTCCCAACTCAGTCTAAGGAGGGACTCTCTGTCTGCCTTTAATTCAGGCCCTGTACATCCTCATTCATCTCCAGTGACATCACTATCCTGTCATTGTCTTCTCTTTGCTATCTGCTATAGAGCAGGCAGAGCTTCTTCCTGGGCTGAACTTCTTCCTTCCCAACTTGGGAGTCCTGCCAAAATCACGCAGAACTGCCAAGGCATATTTCTGATCCAGACAGTCTGGCCTTAAAGCAGACACCAAATCAGTGAACTTCTGCCTTTTTAAGCAAGCTGCCTTTGGTTTGCACTGGGGGCTGATGCTCCCTGATAGTGAGATCTATGTATCTCAGAAGAGATTTTCAAGAATACTAAGATTCTCTGCGTTGAGATACATTTAGAGTCAGGGAACAATTTATTCAAGAAAGATCTTTCTTTCTCTGCTTTGCTGAGGTTCCTTTGGTTTCCACCCAGTAACTGTTTGCATCTGACTGTACTGTATTTTTGAAACAAAACGTTAATACCATGCATCTTTTCCTTCCTTCTTTCCTTCCTTCCTTCCTTCCTTCCTTCCTTCCTTCCGTTTTCTTTTTCTTTCTTCTTCCTTCTCCCCCTCTCTCTCTCCCTCCCTCTCCCTCTCTCTCTTTTCTTTCTTAAAATAACAATAATTTCTTGAAGATTTTAGAATATATTTGTTCCCATCTTACTGGGAAAGTACCATTTGAAGCAGAAGATGTTAACGTTCTCTGATGAATATATGCACTCTAGGGAAGGTGATGACCCTGTCTTTTCAAGCATCACGCTGTGCTTCTGCTGGCCTGTAATGCTATTTTCCAGTTTTCTGCTTGATCAGTTCAACATCAAGAATTAGATACATGTCCTATTAATTGATAGCGGAGGGTGGGACTGAAATGGATTTCATTCTGCTATCTTTAGCAACAGCAGTGGTGGGCTGCAAGCGCGCGCAGGCCTGACATGCTTGCGTGCAGCGTTCAAAATAGCGCAATTTGAAGCTCAGCTGCTTACCTTCTAAGGCAGCCCCGGTAAGTAGAACAGCGGAGATGCGAAAATCAGCTGTGCCGCGCGAATCAGCTGAGCCAGAAAGAAGGAAATATAGGACAGGATAGGGCGGGGCCAGGGTCAGCTGATCGTTGGAACTGCCGGTTCGCCTGAACTGGTCTGAACCAGCAGCAGCCCACCACTGGTTAACAGGTTCCTCAGAAAGAATATATTGGCTTTTGCATTCAAAATGTGAATTATGAACTAGCAAGTGGTAGGAATCTGGACCATAAAAGAACCAGATTGGAGTTTGTTATTTCCTCTATTTAAAAATATTGCTGCAGTTAATATATCGGGATTGTAAAGTGGATTTCCCAAAACCTAGCTTTGATGTGCTAGCTTATTATGTACAAAGTTTCTTTACATGGAAGGGAAAGAAGATTCAGTTTATCCCGAAGGTGCTTTTCCAAAGGCAACTGGACTTTCTTGGGGCTTTTCTTTTTTCCTTGAAAACATTTCGCTTCTCATCTAAGAAGCAACTTCAATTCAGAACGAAGAAGCGAAACTTTTTCAAGGAAAAATAACTTAAGAAAATCCAGTTGCTTTTTGCAAAAGCATCTTTGGGACAACCATGACCTGGATGGTTATGAATCTCCATAAAACATCAAGCTTCAGCTTATTTTTCACAATGCTCAGCATATATTTTCAAGGCTGCTGGGCAACTTCTCGACAGAAAGTTGAAAGCAAATGGAAGGCAGCAGCGCTCTGTTACAAATTTAATTTCGAATGTTTGTGCTGAAAATCATGAAGTATCTGGGCAACTAGCAAGGTGCAAGTTATAGAATATTTGGGAAATGGGAATATCATGACATTGCTTGGATGTTTCCTTTGGGACTGATATTGTGCAAAAGAAGCACTGGAAATTCAAGAAGGGTGGGTCAAAGGCAACAGCGATGCTGTTTCTGAAAATAGCAACTTTTAAACAATCATGTATATTTAACGGAGAGTCTTCAGCTCTTGACTGTTTGACCCGAGAGCAAAGAATGAAGCTTAGTTCCCTTGTGCGAAGCCAAGCGGTGATGTTTCCACATAGGGCCTGCCTTTAAGAAAAGGACCTGACCCTTGGCCAACTTTCTTTTTTTTTTAATTATTGTTTTATCGTAAACAGTAAAATACAAAACAGAAAAACAAACACAAAACAAAAGCACACGTTCAACCCTAAGAACAACAAAAGGAAAAAAGAGTGTGCCAAAAAAAGAGGAAAAAGTGATCAAATTAATTTAACATTTAATATACAGTATATACAGGGAGGAAAATGTACTGCTTTTTCCTTTTTTTCATATATATATATGAAGAAAGAAGAAAAAGTAGTCAACAGATTAAGCTAAACATTACACTAATTCTCAGATCCCTCGGTTAACCATCTGTTATTATATTTAGCATGTAGAAAGGGGTTTCCAGTCTCTTATAAAGCTGTCCAGTCCATTAGCTTCATTTTATCATATGTGGTGGTCTTGCAAATATATACGGTTGCTGTGATTATCTTTCTTCCCTCTGTTCGTAACTATCGTCTTTTGGAATATGTCTGACACTTTGTCCGGACAGTTCCTGAAGGCTGTCTCAGAAAAATGGCTTATTGTCACGAATCTATGCTACATTAGGTATAGAAATGAACAACTTCTCAAGTTTCAGTGCTGCTAATGTAATCTGTTGTTAGGTTTTCCCTTTTACATGAAAATACAATATATACTAATCAGTGAGAGCTGCTGCTTTTGAAACACGATGTAATACATTCTTCTGACTACAGAACTGTTTTAACGATTCGGTTAAAAGAAAAATGCATACAAATCTGTAAAATGGGATCTGCATGGGATGGTGGATCCCAAATTGGTAAGCAGCTGTGACCTTCCTGCAGAAGACATGGATCACTGTGGCTTACCAATTGGGATCCACCATGCTTGCAGGTTTTTATTAGCTTTAATAGAAAGAAACAGGATGCGGTGGCTCAGTGGCTGAGATGCTGAGTTTGTCGATCGAAAGTTCGGCAGTTCAGCGGTTCCAATCCCTAGTGCTGCGTAATGGGATGAGCTCCCGTTACTTGTCCCAGATTCTGCCAACCTAGCAGTTCGAAAGCACGTAAAAAATGCAAGTAGAAAAATAGGGACCACCTTTGGTGGGAAGGTAACAGCGTTCCGTGCGCCTTTGGCGTTGAGTTATGCTGGCCACATGACCACGGAGACGTCTTCGGACAGCGCTGGCTCTTCGGCTTTGAAACGGAGATGAGCACCGCCCCCTAGAGTCAGGAACAACTAGCACATATGTGCGAGGAGAACCTTTACCTTTACTAATAGAAAGAAAAGTCTTGCCTCATATCCATATTGATAGGCTCGCTCGTTATTGGATCACACACTCAAGACTAGAGAAATGGCTCTTGATTTCCTAAGTAGTTATTTCTCTTGGGCTCCAACATTGAAGAAATGACAGTGGGTTATAAATGATGTCACAAACTCCCTGGATCCTTTTTTCCCCTACATCTAGAAATCTCTGGTGCATCCCTAAAGAATTGTCATATACTACAAAGGACTATATGTTGTCTTCATTCTCAGGTCACCTGTCATCTGTTGGGATGACCCATCCCAAAGCAAGTTGTTCAGAATGTACCCAACACTGTCCTCTTGTGGTTGTGTATCGCAATGGGAAAAAAACAACCGTAGCAATTTGCAATCTCTCTGTAGTGGATTTTTTTTTTTTTTGAATTTGCTTATTTTCATTGGTCAAAGAGCAGATAAAAGGGGAACTTATCAGTAATAACATCACTTCACAGAACCCAGTCTTTTCATGACTAAAGCCCGGATAGTCAAAATACCAACTTCTATATTCCAAAAATCAGCCTGGGATATTAGAAAGATCTTTAGCAAGCCTAAATAATATTGGAATCTGGGCAACACTGCATGTACAGTCTCACAAATGGTGATTCTACGCATATCTATCATTCACCTAAAGAAGAGCAAATAGAACATTTCAGTTAAATTCCCAGTTTAAAAAGTACATGCCTGCATGAATCAATCAATCCCATTTTAAGAACACAAGTAAGGGAATTATATCACACTAAGATTGGATTTACTCATCAGACTAACATGAGGTTCATGATTGGGGTGGCGCACAAATACAAATGTGAAATTGTGATTTGCTTTTGAATTAGTGTGTTGTGAAAAACCCAGCCACCTGTGTTCTTATTGCACAAATCATGATTTAATAAACCCTGGTTTAGAATAATGTATACACCAGTTCAACGTGTACTTTGGTATCGGTCTCCAAATAAAGGCAAACGTTGCTTTCTAAGTCTTGTTGATCCAAATCCATAGGCTTCTTAATGGGAAGATGCAAAAGATGGATCTACACTTCCAACCATGAGCAAATCAATAGAGGATGTGCTGAGTTTTAGAATTTGGAAAGAGTGCTGGGAACCCTTTAACACAATCTAGTCCTCATAACATTGGGTCTCAGAACTCCCAGAGGAAGAAAAAAAATGAATATCTGAGTTGAAGCAAAATCAGAATCTCCTTAGATGAAACATCTGGGACTTTAAGCTTGGCTGTGATGACTGTACCAATTTGTTAGGTTTTTTCACACGCCCCGCCTTCAATAAAGCAATCAAATCCAGACTGAAAAAACCCCAGTGAACCATGAAAGATGCAGAAAACTCTTCACTCTTAATCTCCATAATTTTGCAGTGCAAGATTGGATGGCCCATTCTAAAACCGTCTACCGTATTTTTCGGAGTATAAGATGCACTTTTTCCCCCCCTAAAAGAGAGTGGAAATGTTGGTGCGTCTTATACACCGAATACAGCCATTTTTGGCCTCCTGAAGCCCTGCCCCGCTCGTCCCATTTTTGTGAAAAAGGGGCCTTTTTTCACAAAAACGGGGTGCACAGAGGATTTGGGAGGCCTGCAGAGTGCTCCTGGGGGGGCAAAAGCTTTTTTTTCTCTTACTTACCTCTTCGAAATCTTGGTGCGTCTTATACACCGGTGTGTCTTATAGTCCGAAAAATATGGTAATATCTTTCCACAATTCAAATTCTGTACTGACTGCCATCATCCTTCCTGGCTGGGTCTGTATCATACTTACCTTAGCTGCATTTTAAAACACTTGTCTGACTTAGCTATTCTTTTCAAAAAGATATGTAGCATTTATGGTAATGTATGTAAAATAAAGTTACATGTTAAGATTGAGATGTATATAGTTTCCCTTCAGTGAAGGATTGTTAGCACTGTACTGAGCCTCATTTGAAAGATATTTATTTGTGTACAGTAACTGTTTGGGTAAGTGAGAGCGAAGGGGTGGTTATTACAAAAGGCTTGCCATCTCTTGAAACTTTCCCAACTGCATTTTGTTTGAAGGGGAAAGGAAGATGAGAAGTTTCACTCCCTTCTCCTAATGGTGTAGTTGTATAACTAATGTATCAGCACAATTTGACGCGCAAAACTAAAAACCTCGTTCGAGTCAAGATGGCAAAAAATTGATTTCTAATTGTATTTAATTTTCTTTTATAAATAACAAAAATCCACCTTACTTCCCCTTTCTTTTCCTTTTCTTTAATCTTTAGAAACAGATAGCTGGATTGTAATACTAGCCTTTAGCTGTAAATAAAATACTTCCTCAATTAAAACCTTCGTTTTGTTTCCCTTGAATTTTTTTTTTTAATTTTTTTTTTGTGGTTGAAATGAGTTCCAAATATCTGTAGCTATAGAAAAAATAAATTTACATATGCACATAGGTGGGATTCATATAATTTACCTACCAGTTCATCCAGCACCCAAAATGTGAGCATATATGCACACACTCGCTTCGCTTGCACACACCACCTCCGTGCATTCGCCTGACCTTCCACACATGTGCTTTGCTCACGTGTGTGCCTTCCGTGCATGCAGCCCGGCCTCAAAAAGTGCCTATATAGGACAGCATAGAGCCCAGGTGCAATTTCCACTACCAGTTCCCCCAAACTGGTCTGAACCAGTTGAATACCACCTCCAATATGCACCTTTTTTGGTTAAGGTAGAACTAGATGATCCGAGCGTGGTAGGGTGACAGCTGGTACATCAAGTTGTAATCAACTTCTCATCTCAAGTAGAACAATCAAACTATCAAACCTGGTTCCTTGAGCCTTCATTTGGGAAGGCAATAACAAAATGTACATATGACTGAGACTGACATATTCTATGTCTTGGTAGGGCTGGAATTTTTCTCGGTTTTTCCTTTTTTTGGAAAAAAATGTTAGCTAGTTAACATTTTTAATATTAACATGGATAGTTAAGACTATTTCAGGTCTTATGTAGCAACGTTTAGGTATTCTCTCAAAAAAACAGAAACACGCACTTCAAATTTTAGAAAAACAAGCTATGGAAAGGATTTCAAGATCTTCAAAGAAATATTTAAGAGCCACTTGCAACCCTGGGATGGGAGAACATTGCTCAATCCTGCTCCCTATCAACACTTGTGTCACACTCCAATTAGAAGTGGGGAAAGTTCATTTCCTTCCTTTCCAGATTACAGCTGACCATAGCAAACCCTACCAAGAGACAGAATTTAGAAGGATAACATTTATTTTCAGATTCCAGGAACTATGCCTTATTTTGTCAGTATGAACATTTCAGTTGATGTAATAAGTCTCTTTCTATTAATGGCCTTTGAAGCAAATTAAGTTTATTTTCAAGATACAATATAATTGTTGATCTATATAAATCCTGAACCAAAGTACATTGAATGTTAGATACCACACTGAAGTATCTAACATTCAATGTGAAGATGGTAAACATCTAAGTAATATATGCACAATACAAAAAAAAAATCACATTTGTTCTTGAAAATTGGCTGTGTGTCTTCTTGAGAATTATTAAATAGCCAAGGAACTGCAACAATTTAAAGAAAAAAAAATCTGAGCAGACACTATTCCAAACCAGATTAAGGCCATCTGAGTAGAGGAGGTTGATATGCTGAGCTGACTTCAATCAATCAGAATAGAGCCAGAAGGGACCTTGGAGGTCTTCTAGTCCAGCCCCCTGCTCAAGCAGGAGACCTTCTACCATTTCCGACAAGTGACTGTCCAGTCTCTTCTTAAAAACCTCCAGTGATGGAGCACCCACAACTATTGAAAGCAAGCTGTTCCACTGGTTAATTGTCCTCACTGTTAGGAAGTTTCTCCTCAATTCCAGGTTGCTTCTCTCCTTGACTAGTTTTCATCCATTGCTTCTTGTGTCCTGCCCTCTGATACTTTGGAGAATAACTTGACCTCCTCCTCTTTGTGGCAGCCCCTCAAATACTGGAAGACTGCTATCATGTCCCTCCCTAGTCCTTCTTTTCTCTAGACTAGCCAAAACCCAAATCCTGCAACCGTTCTTCATATGTTTTAGTCTTCAGGCCTTTAATCATCTCAGTAGCTCTTCTTTGCACTTTTTCCAAAGTCTCAACGTCTTTTTTTGTAACGTAGTGATCAAAACTGGATGCAGTGCTCCAGGTGTGGTCTTACTAAGACTTTATAAAGCGGAACTAATACTTCATGTGATTTTGATTCTATGTTTGCTCATACTTTTTGGACTTTATCTTCCATCATCCTCAGTTAAGCGTTCTAATGAAGGATTTGGAATGTGTAACCTAAAACAAAAAAGGACATCAGATTAATCGCTCGTTCTAATTTCTGCTAATAATAAAGTGGTTGATTTTAAAGCCTTAAGTTCCTATTTCCATAGAGCTACAAAGCAATTGGGGCAGTTGCTTAATTTAACCTGTCTCACTCTACTGTTCTGAGCGTAACAATGAAAATAACATGGTGAGGAGCACAGACATTCTTGTCCTAGAAACGCTTCCTGAGGTATCATTGTAATATGTAAAATAATCATAAAAAACTATAGCACAATTCATGCGCACATATTCCCTTATAAACACTGCAAATGGCTAGAATCTCTGTATACTGTAAGTTTCTTTTCCCCTCACATCTACAGGGGATTTACTCGCATCTTGAAAATAAATCTGCAACATTCCAGTGTGACAGAACATAGAACTATAATGGCATATCGCCTATGAGAAATGAACAATTCATTTTTGTATTCATCACGATAGACATACATAAATCAAGCAGGCACAAAATTCTGGTCCAAGATGAACCTTCTGAAGAATGATGGCAGAGCCTCTTAAGCTTAAATTGCAGAATAATGAAGAGTTATATTTCAATGGAGATCATAAAAAGATGCAGTCTTTGCATAGTACTCCTGTTAAGGCAGGCTGTTCATTATAGTAGAGAGGGCATTAGAAAAAGCTGAATCCGCACATGTAGTAATTATTTTCTTGGCCAAGGATGATTCACAGTTGAACAAGATGCTGAAGCTCCAACTTAAGACTAGAGTTTCATCATCCACATGAACAGATTTTTTAAAAAAACTGTTGGATTGCAGAATGAATGCCAAAGTTTGAAAGATAATTAAGAAGCATTATCAGAGCAGGGGTGGTGCATTCTGATATGACAACATTAACAACTGTGCCAGAAAGAAGTCATGAATTCCAGGCTTACAGCAGGGACAGCAGCCAGTATACTGCGTTCCCAGCAATGAAGATACATGTGGAAACATTTTCCAAAAAGTCATGTGTGAATCTATCTTGCAGAGGAACAAAGATCCTGCATAGGACTTTGTTATATAAAAGATTAAAGACATTTATGTTGACGTTTTTGAACTACTCTGCGTTGCAGTCGTTTTATTAGATGTCGTGTAAAATAAGCAAATCGTAATTTTTTTCACTTGTTGAACGCATCATCATTGTGCATGCAGAGGAAAATAAGGGAAGAACATCTGAGTCCCAAGAAACCTATAAAGTACAACTTTAAAATAAAAGAGACCATATAAATGAAAAAGATTGTCTAGAGACATAAAAATGTAGAGGTGATTTTGTCCCTTCCTAAGGGGTTGGTATTTATATTAACCATGCACAACAGAATGGAGAAGTTGGAGGAAACAGAAGAGAAGATGTCCAGGCATAATATTAACTTCCCTGTTCCAGTGAAACTGGCATTCTAGCACATCACATCTGCCACCACAGGCCATGATTACATGCACACCAAATGAAATTGAGAACACTAGTAAAATGAGTCCAGCTGTTTCAAACTCTTAACTGGAGATTCACACTTTTCATGCCTCCTATATTTAAGAACCTCTTTACAAAATGAGAACTGGCAAAAGGTTAGATGGTCTATACATTTTATTTCTGAAATATTCGTGGATGGATGTTGCCTAAGGTATTGTCTAGGTAAAGGTGTTCAATAGAGAAGGATCAAAAGTGAGGTGGTAAGGACTATACCACTTCATGTTATAACATGAAGTGGTATAGTCCTTACTACCTCAAATTCTTCTGTTTCGTCCATCTGCAGATACTCACATAAGTCCTCTATATTCATTCTTTCTTGAATCCGTTACTGGTATTGCCCTTAACTGGATAGTCTGCTGTGTGTGTGTGTGTGTGTGTGTGTGTGTGTGTGTGTGTGTGTGTGCGTGTGTGTGTGTTTCTCTCACAAACACAAGAACAGACAAATGTGCAATCAGAAGGTGCTTCCTATGGCCTTTTTCAGAAACATTTAAATGATAATTTGATATGTGACCTGAAAGACTCTTTGGGCAGAAATGCTGATGAGGAAAGAGTTGTTTTAAGATAGACTTTTAAGAAAAAACGAGACTCTACAGTTTGGAAGATTGGAAGGGCCAGCAAAAAGTAAATAGAGGGGGGGGGAAGGGAAATACTTTTAGACAAAAGGGATGATTCCTGTTATTGTCCTCCGGAAACCTGCTTTGAAGAAATGAAAGCTCCACACACCCAAAATCAAAAATACATCCCAGGCTTAGAAACCTTGGTATCAGGAAGGGCAAACCTTGCCATGAATGGAAACCATGTGGGTGGGGAAGAGAGTGAGGAGGATGCACGGATCCAATCCATCACTGATGTAACTTCTCAGCAGTCATCGTGAAAAAATTAGTCATCTCTTTCAGACGACACTATCAAAAGGCAGACACACCATGACAGTTATTGTGGAGCCAAGAGATAGAAATGGGCGCCCACCATGCACAGACAGACAGGAAGCGTGAGATTTTGCAGCTAAGAATTCCTCAGGCCGGGGTGGGTGAGTAACTTTGACAGGAATTGTTGACCGAATACTCTCTCCCAAAACTTTTTTTTTTTAAAGGATATTTCTGGGAGACGTGCTACAAAATTTTTCCTTGCAAATTGAAGCCCAGAGTACTTTCAGGAAGCCATTGTGAAGTATTACAAGCTGTGAAAAGTGATATAAAAACATTCTGATAAGCCATGGTGGCCTCCAGGCAGTGGTTGCAAAGTGGTTGCCAACAGATGTTCTCGCAATCCCTTTGAGAGCAACAACTTCTGATAAAGGCTCAGAGAGAGAGAGAGAGAAAGATAAGAAACCATCGGCACAGATTCTCATTAAATCGAGTGAAGTGCAAAGCTGAAAACTGTCTTATGCAGCCACATGGCCGAAGGCAACACTGATGTATGGTAGCTCTTCAAATTGAATTAATATATAATGATGCCACAAACATCTGCATATATGAGCATTCACTAATGGCCAGGAGCAGCTCAGCATTATACAGGCAGAGGCATCTGATTCAGGCTGTACCTGCTGGGGGGGGGGGGGAAGGTTGTAGTTCTCTCAGCTATCTTGACCAAGGATGACTTGAAGCACTCTCAGATGCCTGCTTGTCTTTCCCAATATCCTTCCTCAAGTATTTCAGATACACCGAATCTGAAATAACACACATACATACAGACAACCATCAGTGCTGACCCACACTCAGCAGGCCACTGAATATATTGCTGAATATTCAAGACAAAGCACGCACTGGGTCACACATTGGCATTGGCATTTGAGAAGGAGCAGGATGGCACCAGGGAGAACCCTAAGGAAGGAATAGCAAGTGTTTGGAGAACAGAACTTTATGGAATGTGCAATTTGGTCTGCATTGTATCACTTGAAAATTAATCTACTCTTGACTTAAAACCAGAAACATTTTTGTTGGGGATTTTACCTGAAACCTATAGTAAAGGGAATGCATATTTAATTATACATGTATTAACCACAGCTAGAATTGTATTTGCACAAAACTGGAAAAACAGAGAGATCCCTATTGAAGAGAATGGGATTAGGAAAATATTAGAATGTGCAGAAATGAATAGATTAATGCTTGTTATAAAGGAGAAAGAACAAACTGAATATTATATGACATGGGAGTTATTTTATGAATGGTTGGAAAATAAAAATAAATTAGAAATAAATGGTGATCAGTGAAATATAGAAAACATGTTAAGATAGAGAAGTAAACAATATGATGATTCTTACTAATATGACTATTAAGATTATTATATTTAATATTATTATATTCTTATTAGAAGATATGTTAAGAGGGAGAAATGAATAGATGTATTATACTTATTATTATTATTATAAGATTAGAGAATCAATGAATACTGTTGTAAATTTTGATTGTTATTGCAGACATATTTGTACCCAAATAACACACTGTTTAATGGAAGATGCAATGTTTAAGTTAAAAAGGAAAATAAAAAAAATTAATCAACCCTCTTCAGGGGTACTGAAGATCATTGTCCCATTGCTGGTACAGAAGTAAGGGTTAATTCAAGAGAAGAAAACCTTTATTTTGAACTCATAAAGCAGAAAAGAGTTGAGTCTGAGTCTTGCCCAGCTTCACAACAGGTATAAATATAAATATACCCTTACACATCTTTGCAATACCTAACCTTTTATCCTTTATGTGCACAAATAATCAAAAGAATTTTTTTGCAACTCTGTGCAATGTCCTCTTTCACTGCTGCGTAGTAACCACAGTTGATAAAATGGGTCTTTGATGAAATGATAAAAAAGATGGCACTGTAGCTAAAGAAGCAAGGAATCAAAAACCCAGCTGGCATGGATAGCCAGAGCTCTAGTGCAATCAATGGTTGTATCTGATCAGGCCAGCTGCTAGGAAATCTTCATTTGAAGAGTTCAGGCAATGTTAATTCGAAATGCCACCTTCTGCTGCTGTGGGGAAAAAAGACTATGTTGTTTTTTTATAACAGCAAATAAGCGAAGGCTTCTATTGAGAGGCTTTCATAATTAAAAGATCTTGGAGGCAAAGATGACAAGCTTAGCTAAAACGTATGTAACACAGCTGCGGTGTTTACTTGCAATGAATAGGCAAGGGTTGCACAACTATTAGTTTCAGCAACTATAGGGTGATATATAACTCTCTTGAGAAAGGAGTACCATAGGAAATGTGACTCTTTAATCATCTACTGTGGGGAGGGGAGAGGGATACAATGCAAATGCTGGAATTGCATACAAAAAAGATTGATAGGTGATTACAGTTGCACTAAGTATATTTTTATAAGTTATGACTAGAGAGAGATGGGCAAAATTAAAAATGGGAGTAAGGTTGAATAAACATATTTACTCTGTCTTCCCAAAAAAAAAGACTGCTAATATACTAAATAAGGAAATGGAGAAAATTAACCAGTTCAGAGATAAAATTAGTAGGCTTTGGTTAGGGTCAAGCTCTGTTCAAGATACCAAAGGTACAACAACAGGCAATCAATTCCAATGGCCCCAATGCCGAAGATATATGGTAAAAAATAAACAATATGGAGAACCAATATAACCAGCAGTGAGAAAGAAAGCAAGAACTTAGTCTAAAGAGTAAGCTATTAGACCAAGATGTTATTAGACTTAATGGCAATAATTTTGGGTTTAGCTGACAGAATACTCAAGAGAGAAAGAAACTATAAGAGTAGATGCGCATTTCTTATAAGGCAGTGATGGCTAACCTTTTTGCCGTCGCGTGCCAAAAAGTAGGGGGAGTGTGGGGGGGTTGCACGTGTGTGTGCCCACACCCGTAATTCAATGCACCCCGCCCCCCCCATGCTCCCCACACTTTTGGCACATGATGGCACAGTGGGCCAGGTAGGCCTGTTTTTCATCCTCCCCAGGCACCAGAGGCTTTCTTGGAGCCTGGGGAGGGCAAACATGGCCTTCCCCACCTCCTGGAGGCCCTCCGGAGGCTGGAAACGGCCCGTTTCCTGAGTTCCGGTGGGACCGGAAGGCCCATTTTTCACCCTCCCCAGGCTCCTGAGGCTTTCTAGGAGCCTGGGGAAGGTGAAAAAGGCCTTCCCTACCCACCCAGAGGCCCTCTGGAGGCAGGAAACAGCCAGTTTCCCAACTTCCGGTGGGACTGGAAGGCCCAAAAATCAGCTGGCTGGCATGCGCATGCACACTGGAGCTGAGCTAGGGCAACGCTCGTGTGCCCACAGATATGGGGGCCATGTGCCACCTGTGGCATGCGTGCCATAGGTTTGCCATCACAGTTATAAGGGATACATGCAGGAAAAAACTCAGCATGGTTATATGAAGTCAACCACTGTAAGAAAGGATACGTTAGATTCTAGTTATAGTGATAGTTGTAAAGTCTACCCTGTTTTTTTGCACAGTACTCAAGAATTCTTTCACAACAAAGCAGTAAACTTCCTCAAATTTTGACTGCAATATGTTCTCAGACACCATTCTTCTAAATTGGCTCCCACTAAAAGATCATTCAGTACATCTGTCTAAGAGGAAATGGGGCATGTAAATAATTACATAGAACATTCATTGCAGCTAACAACTGTATCTTTCTCCTGGATCTATATAAAATGGAATCCACACATACTCATTTATTGACTTCACCCTTAAGCAAGTGCCAAACTCTGAGCAAATGAAATAGTACTGGATGAGAATACAGAACTAGGAATTCAAGTCCAGAAACGTAGCAGAGATGAGTGGGACAGTTCACAGAACTGGCTGATCCTTCTCAACTGTATTGAATCAATGAGCCAATGAAACTGACTTGGAAGCATTCAAGCTGTCACAACGAGCTGAATTAATCCAGCTGCAGGCCTAATACACATGTCCATACACAAACAAAACCAGCTTGTTAATATTTTTAGTGGAGTGTTTTGAAACCTCTTTGACGTTAATACACTCATCTACAAAGTGGTTTCAAATGAGGGAAATGCTAGATTCGACATAAAATCCAGACTTTTGAGATGTGAAAATTGCATAATTTAGACTTCACCTTGCAGTTCTGCTGTCCTGTTTGAATTTTCGGGATGGGGGTAAAGGAAGCTAGAATAATTGCAGCAAAAAGCAGAGCCGTTACTGCTGCAGCTCTAAGATAACAGAACAGAGATGAGCAAATCAATCACCCTTATATATGAGGGGTCCTTGGTGATCTCTGAGCTTGCTTGGTTTTTTTGCAAATGTTCATTACTCAACTAGGTAACATCATCAGTGCTAGTTACTGGCACTGATGTTACCTAGTTGGGTAATGAAACGTCTGAAAGAAAACGAGCAAGCTCAGAGATCACCAAGGGCCCCTCATGTCAACCCTGAGCTACAAATCTTCTTTATTAGCACCCTTGGATATTTCTGAAGGAAGTAACTTCAGACGGCCTTACAAACCATGAAGAATGCTCTGAAATATAGTTCAACATCTAAAAAGCAAAATATCCCTTCTTCTCACTATAGCATTTAGCAGAATGTTGACAAACACACATCTTTCTTACCCAGAAAACAAGTGCAGGGCATAGCAGCTATAGGGAATTTTTTTTACAGATTTTGGGATTGCTAACTTGCGGGGTCCTGGATGCTATCTGAGCTGGCTTGTTTTCTTGCAGACATTTTATTACCCAAACTAGGTAACATCATCAGTGCTAGTTTTATCAATTGCTAATTTGCTTTTTGATTATTTCACTTGTAGTCTAAAGATGTATTCTTTAGCTGCAAAGTTCCACAATCTTATCCATAACCAAATGGAGAGATGCTGACACATGTATTAAAAGCATTTCTACTCAGTTGAATAGAACTTATTTTTGCTTAAGTATCATTAGAACTGCATATGAACACTCTGCACTCTTATTGATAAATTGCTTTTACTCCACTTGACTGAGATAGTTTTGGAGCTGACATTTTGAAGAGTTGGCTCTTTAATCATCTGTTCTCTATCTTAATGAAAGAACAGTTAAAAAACAACATACAATATAAGCAAATTTCTTTCTTTTTCTTTCTATATAAAAGAACATACACTATTTATATTTGCTGTGAAGTTCCAGTTATTTTGTTCAAGCTTTTCTTTGGATGACAGTCTCCGTCTCCCATCAAAGAATAGCTATATTTGGAATAAATACATCTGGGACAGAAGACAAAATTGATGTATCAGTATATTAGCAACTGCAACGATCATTGAACCTAATTTTAGATTTGTATGTTATGATGATGGGAGAAAAGACTGCTTAGTACAAATAATTAAAATTATCATTCTAAAATTTGTTTCAGGCAGTTATACGGGAAAAGGCAATTGTGATTGATTTTAAAAAGCAAAATTTGCATAAAAGATCATGAATAAAATCCCAGGATGGCAAACTAGATTAAGAAATAAGGGGGTGGGGGGAATCCTAAAATACAGTAAAAAGACAGTTTAACAACAATGCCAAGAAAAGAACATCATGGATATCACCAGATGAATTCTAATCAAAGAAGATTTTAAGTATAGAATGAAGGGGGTACAATAATTCTGAGACTACTGTCATAATACGGCTGCATTCTGAAGGAATTTAATCAAAAGCAGGACAGTTGGGATAGTTAAAAGGCAGTAACTGACAGAGTAACTGCCTCTTCTGAATGTCTTAGTATATTACAAACTCTAGCAAAATGATTTTATAGAGAATAGAAATTATAGAGAGAAAACATAACATTAAAAGAGCAGGAACTACTTTGAATCACAAGGAGGGGGAAACTCTTAAACCAAAATTTTGGTAAGTCATATACCAATTTATCTTTCCACAGTGACTATAGTACAATTTCACATTTTTCTGCCTGAAAAAAATGTAATTAGCAGGATAGATGATTTCCAGCAAAATTATGGAAATCTTTGAAGTGAAATGTTCCTATTCAGCAGTAATAGAAGGCTGGGATTCATTCTTCCAGCAGAAGCAAACCTCAGAATTATGAGCATGTGATGGAATATATAAATACATAGTTGTAAATAAAATGAGTATGTGCTACTTTTTAAAGACCTGTATGCACAAGAAATACTAATAGAAAGGCTTACAAAATCTCCCCTTCAAACTTAAAGCAACTCAAACGGCTTTCTCACTTTCTTTTAGTTGAAAATTGCCTTGAATGCATTAGTATAAAAACCGAATCTATGAGGGTATACTTTAAATCAATTAATGAACCCTATTAATAACCAGATTTGAGGTGGAGTACCCACAACTGCAAAAATCCTGGAGGCTGCTCAATGGTACTACTAAATGACGACTCTTTGTTTCATCTCTTTGTTGCTCATGGCCATCACTCAAGTTAACCTGATCACCCTCATTCCTCCAGCAAAACAGTGGATTAAATGAGGTCAAATAAAACAGCAATTATTTCTATTGTATTTCAGAGGTCTCCCATGGCTCAAATGCTCCCAAGGCTTCATAAAGGGGACCAAAAGAACTGGTAGGTTATATAGGACTCACTTCTCGTTTATTATTGAAAATGTAATCTTGTTGCTGGATTAGCAGCTAATCTGGGTGTGTTAACTTCATGGTAGCTTCAGTTTCAGTTTTCAGATTTGGAGGAAGGAGTGTCTCAGCCAAGCCCAGGGGAACTGAGGATTTTGGAAGGCATTAAGTGGAAAGCATCCCCAGGATTGGTTTCATCAAGTATCCAACGCAAATTATAGAATCTGGATGCTTTTCTCTCTCTCTTCTTGAGACACCTAGAAACAATTATATCATAAAACACCACTTTATTATCTATGTGATATGCCTATGCAATGTACAGGTAGTTCTCGATGTACAATGATTCATTTAGTGACCGTTCAAAGTTACAATGGCACCAAAAAAGTGACATATGACCATTTTTCCCATTTACAACCATTGCAGCATCTTCGTGGTCAAGTATCATAATTCAGTTGCTTGGCAACTGGTTCCTATTTATGAACGTCGCGGTGTCCAAGGGTCAGGTGATCCTGTTTTGCGACCTTCTGACAGTCAATGGGGAAGCCAGATTCACTTAACAACCAGATTGCTAATTTATCACACTGCAGTGATTCTCTTAACAACTGATGCACAGAGGGTCGTAAAATGGGACAAAACTCACATAATAAATGTCTCATGTAACAACAAAAATGTTGAGCTCAATTGTGGTCTTGTCGAGGGCTACCTGTACATACTAATTTCTTATTAATGTATGTATGCTTATATCTATTTACACACAGAGGTATGCACACTTACATATACCTGTATGTGTAAATAGATATTTCATATACATACGGTATTTTAGGGAACCCCAGGAAGGTTTTCCTATGCATAGGAAAACCTTCCTGGGGTTCCCTAAAATATGTATATGAAATATATCTATTTATGATAACAAGAGGGTACCAAGACAAATGTATAGTGTTAGAACAAAAATATAGATGCTATTATAGATAAATGTACATTTAAGAGATGAATAAATATACAGAAATAAGGGGGAAAGTATTAATATTATATCATATTATGTTTAAATAACGAACAAAGCTTAAGAACTATGTTTATATGAGTAATAATATTACTGTAAAGTGACGGGAGATGCTTGGAACCAGTGATGTCATATCTATGTCCAATGTTTTTTTAATTTTGTATTATTAATAAAAAAAAACTTATATATATAAATATATATATGTGTGTATTATTGTTTTAGCCTGGGGTTCCCTAAAATATGCATATGAAATATACATATATAAATATGTATATGAAATAAAGACATATGCAAATATAAATATACAAATACATATTTTCTGTATTTGAATTTATTAGTTTAGCCAACTTCAAGACTCTGGACACCAAACCGAACTAGAAAATCATGTGGGTTATGTCTGTTTGTGTGAAACACCTCCTGGGCGCTTTCCCAGGTCTAGAATTAATGTATTGGGGGATTTGGGGTTTGTGTCTTTCATTGTTTTTAACTATGTTTTGGGTTGTAATAGCCACCCAGTCTGTGGAGAGGCCAAATTTTGAGGGGGAAAAAATACATAAATGTGCTGTCTACGCGCTGCCTTATACCTAATGTATTCTAATACACCCTTAAAAGGAAGGAAAAACTCCTTTATTTCTTTTTTTATTATTATTATTTTCTCTCAGACCACCACCTGCTTCACTTCAGGGATTTAAAACTCCTCAGAGGGAGAGGGGCGAAAACAACCACAGCGGGTTCCCCCTCCTCCTCCTCCTCCTCCCGCCCTCACCCCTGAAGCGCGCCCCCGCTTCAGCGGGGCAGACGAGAGAGAGCGCGCGCGCCTCTCCTCGACTGGAGAGGGGCACAAGCTCCGCCCCCTCGGGCGCAACGCTGACGGCCTCTCCTCTTTCCCCCCCTCTTTTTTTTTTCCCCCTCTCGCGCCGATTCCCTCCCTTTTTCTGTTCAACCCGCCGCCGCCGCCCGCGTTGCATTATGGGACACAAACAAAGTGCTCGGCTCGTCGGCTCCGCGTGAAAAAGGCGAGGGCGGGGGGAGGAGGAGATCCCGAACGCTTGGGCCCCGCGCGCGCGAAGCCCTCCAGCGGGCCCCGCGCCGCCACCGTCCTTCTCCTTTCCTCGCCCTCCCCCTCTCTGCCTTCGGCCAGGCCGCGAGAGCGCCTGCGTGGCGGCGCGCGGGACTCCTTCTCCCTCCTTCGCGGGGGGCCCTCCTTTCCTCACCCTCCTCCTCCCCCCTCCCCTCAGCCAGAAGAAGCCGCGTCGGGGGCGGCGGCGGCCATGGCCCTGCGGGGGCCGAGCTGAAGAACCGGGACGGGGCCCGGGAAGGAAGGGAGAAGCTGGGCCTTGCGCTTGTTGACCGACCGACCGACCTACCTAACCCCCCCCTTGCCACTCCCGCTCTCGGCCCGCCGGGCGCGGGGAAAGGAGGGCCCCGCCAAGAGCAGGTAATGGAGGCTGAGGGGAAAGAGGGAGGAGGGGAGAGGGATCCTAGGCCCCGCCCCCTTGGCCCCGCCCCTTCCCGGAGCATCCCGGCCTCCCCCCCTTGGCGCTCCGTCTGCGCGGATGCCCGAGATTCTCCCAGGGCACGACGGGGGGTGTGGAGGAGAGCTTCTCTTAACACCCACCCACATTTCCCCCCACCTGGGATTGGTCAGATGCGGGTTTTGCAACATTGTTGCCATTAATTAATGATTCATTAACTATGGAGGGGGGTGTCCTGTAGGAAGCCCCCAAAGTGAAGGGTGTGTGTGGGGGGGGTGTTGCAGGAACTTTCAAGGTTAGGAAAGGCCTGGATGGCCTCTGTGCTACCCCCCCCCCCCCCCCCCAAGGTGGAGGTTAAGCTGCCCAAGTTAGGTCTCCCCAGCCTGGGATGCTTTCCAATGATGCCTTTCAATGTTGATATAGGGATGCATGATAGGCATGGTGTCCTTGATTGCAGGTTAGAAAAGCTGCCCCTTTAAGGGTTATGTCCCGGCAGGATTTTCTTGGTTTGGCACGGGGGATTTGTATAAACGAAGGGACAAACTTATATTTTTTCCATGTCCTTGGGAATCTTTCAGATACACTCCTTTAACAGGTTTGTCGTTTATTTTTGCCAGGAAAATATGGTTCAGTGTACAGGTAGAAGATGCCGTGGGTGCCATTAAAAAGAGTCTGTCCTTACATGTTGTTTTGGCATAATTTGATTTCTCCCTTCCCCAAACCTGTGGTTTTGGTCAGCCCTGTGTCTTGCTCAGCCCTTCATTTTTGGTCACCTAATTTACTGGTCAAGAATGTTCATTAATTTGCTTGGTTTTCTGTCCCAGCCCTGTTTTCTGATGCCACATTGTTTATGTGGGGTTGTTATGGTCCCCTTGGTTGATTTTTGTTATGCTGACATGAGTCACCCTTGTTGGTCCAGCATGCAAGCCTTGTTCATTTTCAGTGATGGTGGATCCTTAACCTGCTTAAATTTATGGGGCTCTTTTTTAGGTTAAAACAAAGAGCTACCATCTCCCTCTTTCCAAAATGCCTTGTGGTTCGGAATAGTCTCTGTGTTATTGCAAAATAAAAACAGCAGGTACAATCGAATGCTGTGTTTGAAGATGCACTAACCAGTAAAAAGTGAAAAATAATGAAATAATTACTTGTCCCTATCAGAAGGCATCAGTTTATCAATGTACTTCACTCTAGCTGAGAGGTTTGTCCAATAGTTTTGTTCTAATAGAGAAGGGTATAAATGAATATACTTATTTTCATGCCAATGAACAAAACAAGAAAAAAGATCTGTTGTCTACTGGCATTTTGTTTTGTGACATTGATTCAGCATTCACAATCGGATAACCTGGAGTGGTAGAGCATCAGCAGAGAGAGCACTGTACACATGATTACACTAGCTTCCTTTCTGATGAAATTTACCATGGCCAGAAATCACCATGACAGGCATTTTGTCAATAGAAAACCCACTTTGGCTGATGTCAAAAACCTAAGCAGGGTCAGACCTGATTAGTACTTCAGTGAGAGACTTTCAGGTCCAAGCATTTTCAGCTGGACTGGGAAGTTGAGAAAGCATTGCTGGAGAAGAGAACCACTTCTTCATCGTTTCCAAGGAAACTACTTGGACATCTCCATGCAGAATCATGCTTGGCTGTCCTTTCAACTCTCTTATGGAAGTTAATTTGTGAGGGCACTCACAATAGTCTGAGTATACCCATCAGCCAAAAAAAGATATTTTTCCCATGCTAAAGCAAACAAACTATGCCACAACTTATTGCGTAAAAATCAAGCTCATACCCAGCATTAGAGCATATCACTCTTTGCTTAAAATCTGACTACAAATATTTTTACTATAGTCTCAGAATAATGATTTTTTTCCTACGAAAAGGCAACAGGTTAATAGTGCACTTCATTCTAGCAAAAGGGTTTGTCCGGTAGATCTGTTCTAATAGACAAGATATAAATGTGTATGATTATTTGCATGCCTGCTGAAGAAAATAAGAAAAAAAAAATGTCTACTGTACTGTTAGTGTTTTGTTTCGTAGGCATTGGTTCAGTATTCACAGCCAGAAATATCAAGTGTTTTAACATTATTGTCGATTGAGGCTTATTTATTAGATGTGTATTCTGCTGAATCTGTTGGACTCATAGTGGCTACTACATTCACAGCAAAAAGATTTTAAAAAACTTGTTTATGCCGATAGAGTCATGGATATGTTAATCACAGCATATTGATCCCTTGTTTGTGATACTCCTGGATCACTTGTTGCTTAACATAATATTGTCAAAAGGAACACCCACATTAAAACTGTTTATTTACTTTGTCTTTTTTCAAGGATGCATCAGATGTGGCCTAAAATATATGTCATTTTTTGAGACAGAAGACAATTAAAGCAAACTGAGTATCATATGATTTGGCTAAAAGGGAGGGAAATTGTTTTCTCTTTAAAAGTACAATCCTATGTAAGTAAAGACACATTTTTAAGTAATAAAATTAGCTGAGAATTCAGTGAGTGATTGATTCTAACTTCTAGCTGAAAGACCAAGGGCTGTATGGTTTAGAAGATAGAATATGTTAGGCAGGTGGAAATTTAATTGACTTTCAGTAGATTGAAAGTTTATATCCCTGCTTTCTTTTTCTTGCCATATGGTTTTTAACTTGACTTTCAAGCTTGCAAAATTTACTCAGTGTTGGATTTGATAAAAGTAGTAACTGTGTCAAAATTGACAATATTTGATTTAGTCTTTTATCCCTCTGTAGATTAGAATAATCCGATGAGTAATATAGCATGGAATACTTTTGAAGGAATAGTTTTCTTTTTATGAGTGATTTAATTTATGGTAATGCATCTTATGACAAAAATATTTGAAAGTCTCCATTCATGTTTGGTTTACTCTGCAAGCTAAATGCTTTTCTTCTTTACAAGAGAAGAATGTTACTCTTACTCCAAGAAAGAAAAAAGCTATGTTTTTGGCCTCACCACCTCTTCATAAAGTAGATTTGACTAAAATATTGTTACTAGACAAAATTATGTCTAATAATCATAATTATTTTAAGGATTTCAATAGTGTCTCTCTTCGAGCCAAAATCCTACTGGTTTAAAAAATATGTTAAGTACAGGGAAGAAGAATTAAGTTAAGTTTAAACAGAGGAAGCTATAAACCAGGAAACCCTTACTTTAAATCTCACTTTTCCTATATTCTCCCTAGGTGGCCATAAGCAAGCCACACACTCGACCTCAAAATCCTTTCTGTAATAGAGGGACTATATTGACTACCTTTCGAGCAGCCTTAGCCTTAAAGGCCTGTTATGAGGGTCTGCCATTTCTGTGCATGACTTACCCCCACCCAAGACATTAAAAGGCAGTTGTTAACAGGGCCTCCTTGAGAAGTGTGAGCAGATTTTCTGGCAGCTGCTATGAAAGTACTCTATGGCTGATCATAGAGTTCTTTGAGAATGGCTGTTAAAACAGAATGTACTGTTAAGCCTATTTTGAGATGGATTTATCATGGAGTCTTAATGTTTGGAGCATCTTTTTAACATTTTAACACCAACAGCAGTACAGAAGTAAAAGTAGCCTGGGACAAATGGTTAAGCTTATTTCTCTCCACTCCTTAGCCGTCACACAAACATGTATAATCCTTTACATGTGATTGTACAAAGTTTAGAATGCATGTGGGCAACTCTAACTCTAGTTGTCCACATTAACGTCAAAGGATTGTTATAAAAGATACAATTAGATCATGTGCATGAAGTTATTTGAACACTTGAATGCATAATACAGAAATATTATTTTAAACCACTTGTATAATAATACAAAAGGAAACGCAGTGGCTCAGTGGCTAAGACGCTGAGCTTGTCGATTGAAAGGTTGGCAGTTCAGCGGTTTGAATCCCTAGTGCTGCGTAACAGGGTGAGCTCCCATGACTTGTCCCAGTTTCTGCCAACCTAGCAGTTTGCAAGCATGTAAAAAATGCAAGTAGAAAAATAGGGACCACTTTTGGTGGGAAGGTAACAGCGTTCTGTGCACCTCTGGTGTTTAGTCATGCTAGCCACATGACCACGGAGACTTCTTCAGACAGCGCTGGCTCTTTGGCTTTGAAACAGAGATGAGCACCACCCTCTAGAATCGGGAACAACTAGCACATATGTGCCAGGGGATCCTTTACCTTTACCTATAATAGTACAAATGAAGTTCGAATAGCAGTTAAGTTGTTGGGTTGTTATAAAGCTCTACCTTGTTCATAGTATATATTTAAAGTTATTCTAGATGTCCTTAGCAAGAATTCAAGAGATTAATTGATGATTTAATTAAATAGGTGGTAGTTAGATTTGCATTAAGTACTTGATTTAATTGGTTTACTGCCTATTAACTAATATCTGACTGCTAGTGAAATCCAGTGGTATTTAGTGCTCCAAAGTTTTGCACAGTGACAATAAAACTGTTTTTATTTTCAGAAAAAGAAAATAAATGACACAAGAACGCATTTCTATCTATTTCTACAGAAAGGTTTTGTCCGTATATGAACAGTTCAGAAAGGTAGAAAGGCAACTGAACTAAACTGAAATAAAGAATTACCTCTATCAGATAAGCTTCTTGCCTAGGCCAGGCAATTACCACGGCAAATAGTTATTTAATAGTGCAGCTACTGATCTCTGCTAGAAATAACGAACTTTTCCTGAACATTTTTATTTATAATTATGATTTAATTTACTGAAGTTGTAGCAAATTGCTTGTTACCAATCTTGATATAAATGTGCAGACTTTCTTGGTAATGTATGGCAAATTTCAGTTGATAGATTACCTATTGTTACCTTCAAATAAAACTAACCCCAATTGACTTTTAAAACACCTGGAATATGTCACATTTAAAGTTTCATTTCTGATGGTTATCATTTTTACCTTTTTTCTTTCCATTTTTCCCCCTTCCTTAGAGGCCACATACTTAAAGGTGACTAGTTTTTTTTAAAATCAGATTACACAGCAACAGCAATAAG